CACTTAAATACATTATCTGCCTGGTGCAAGAACTGGAAAATATCAATTAATCCATCAAAAAGCGTAAGTGTATTATTCAGTCTACGCCGTAATCCTACTCCACCACCGTTAATTTTTAACCATGAGCCAATCTCATGGAAGCCATCCGTCAAGTACCTCGGTGTAACATTGGACAAAAGATTAACCTGGTGGCCACACCTCTCAACTAAACTTCAACAAGCCTATCAACGTTTAGGGATGCTCTTCCCTATCTTAAACAGAAAGTCTTCCCTACAAAAAAACCTTTCCCTACTTATTTATAAGCAAGTACTACGTCCATTAATCACTTACGCCTGCCCTGTTTGGGGTAATTGCGCACAAACTCATCTCAAAAAACTGCAGATATTTCAAAACAAAGTCTTAAGAACGATAACTAACGCCCCATGGTTTGTAAGGAACTCAAGCATACACAAAGATCTTAAAATTTCAACCATTCAAGACCACATCAAGCTCACGGCTGTGAGCTTCTTCGAATCCATCCATAGGTCAACAGGCTCAATGCACTACCACATCAACACCAGACCACCTCCACAGCGCCGTCTCAAACGAGGTCGCCCACATGACCTAATTCCTCAAGACACTATCTAATTAATTCTCTAACTACTGTTATCATCTAATGTAAAATTGTAACTTATTTATTTATCGCACTTAATTACGCCAAAATGTATTTTATCTTTCATCTCTAGGTATAGATAGCGTAAGCTAGGAATACCTTATTGTAATAATTAAAAAAAAAAAAAAAAAAAAAAAAAAAAAAAAAAAAAAAAAAAAAAATATTTATTTTCATGTAACCTAATGTTTTGTTATGTGTAATAAAATTGTAGTATTAATTTAAAATAATTTGCACAAACATACGACGAATAAATACTAAGTGACAAACTGACAACAACATAATAATTAACTATCAAAATCTATCCAAAAACATCGTAGACAGATCAGTTAATATTGTGATAAATTTAGAAACAAAACTTTTTGACTGTTGATCTATTTTTAACAATTATAATATCTCCTCGACAATACAATACAATACAATATCGCACGCGTCTACCGGTATTAAATTCTGATGAATGTAGACGCTCGGCAGTTTCCGACCGTCTTCGCAAAATATCCGAAGTCGGGGAAAATTTAATCGAAGTTTATGGGGGCGCGAGACTATTTTTGGACAGTGGCTATAGTATTTAATAATAATAATAATAATAATAATAATAAATTCTGTACTGTTGTTATATAATGTATGCGCGTTACACACTACCTGATTTGGTCGGGCCGACAGGATAATTTGGTCAAATCAGGTCATGTGTAGACTTGTCGTCTGACTTTAATCCTGTCGGGTCTTGTCAGATGGCCATACCATCTGATCGCCTGACCGACCGACCAAATCATATAGTATGTAGCACTGTCGGGCGGATTTTAGTTGGTTTATTGAGGTTAACATGATAACACGTGTGTGTACCTAGTACCTACTTCCAGTTTAATAACGGTGTTAAGACTGACTAAATCGTGTGGTGGTCGTACTGTGTGTACGCAACATCTGATTTGGTCAGGTATCCTGTCGGCCCGAACAAATCAGGTAGTGTGTAACGCGCTTTATGGTGATGAAAAATTAGAAGCTTGCATATACCCAATGGCGGATTGGCCGATCGGGAATCTTCCCGATGGTTCGGTCCGCTCTATATTATTAGGTATATAATTACCAAAAAAAAGTTTTATAAATTAAATAAAAATCATTAAAAAAAAATATATATATTTAAAGATGCATTGACATCAAACTTCAAGTTCAAGTTGGAACTGATGAATCATGTGACTTATCCAAAACTATTATAGCTATAATTATTGTAAAGTTATTGTAGATTTTACTAATTTAGGGGTGAAACTAAAAAAATTTTGAAATTGATGCAAAATAAAGCATTTTTTGGTAGGGGGAGGGGTAAAATAGTTTAATTTACGGTTCATGGACCGGTTTGTTTCATATTTCCTGGGCCGAAAATAATTGCCAATCCGCCCCTGCATATACCCATTATGTACGGATGATTAGCGTATACCCATGATAGACGAATTTTCTTAAAGGTATACGTATAATCCAAAAACAGGGATTCGGGTATACGGCGTATACCCTCCAATATACCACTGATTATAATAAATAATAATATGGATAATATTTTGTTATAAATTTTAAGTAATAAGTCAATATTCCTATCAATATAAAATATTAGCGTTCACTGTATACGTATTACCATTGATTATAAATACTATAGTATTTATAATCAATGGTATTACGTTTTATAAATGTTATTAATAGATGCCATGTTGCTGGATGGACAAGTTTGAGAATTCTTATCTTAGTAAATATACAACACATGAAAATGAAAAATGTTTTGCAACGTTCTATATGTTCACTAGAAAATTAAAACGTTTTGCTCCACTATCTTTGTTTATAAAGATAATCTTTTAAAGATTCGGATCACGGAAATAGGCGTATAATATAAAAATATTTATATTAATTATGTTGGAAATAGTTAATTTTGCAATAAATGGAAATGGTTAATTTTTTAAATAAAATATTGATGAAAATAGGCGGTTTTGAACAAAATGGCAATTTTAACATCGAGTTTTACCAAAGAAAAAGTGCAGTTCGTTAAAAATTAATTATGCCATTCGATTTGACGTGTTTTTCTACGTATATTTCCATATATAACTCAATTTGATCAAAAATGGAAATAGGCAATTTTGGAAAAGAATCCCTCAATTATTGTAATAATGTACTATGCTAATTGATTAGCAAAAATCCACACCTTTTCATATTCTTATTATAGATTATCATAAATTATATTGTCTAATAACATATTCCATGGAAAGTCACCTCTATGACAAAATACATTTTTAATAAGAGAAAACGAGTTAATTAACAACAAAGACTTTCTTTTTCAACGGTTTCTACTAGCTAAGTACATTTTTACTAGTATTAAAATTAAATTTTTCTTCATTTTATTCGAGGATATAAATTAAAATAATAAAAATTTCAAAATATTGTGTAACAAATTTAACAACAGCATTTTGTTTAAAATTAGAATTTTCTATTATAGTTGTTTTGGTTTATTTAACGTTTTACTAAAAAAAAAATAATAAATACTCTTGAAGATAAAACCAAAGGTTATACATGTGTCAATTCTGTAAGTCACAATTTTAGATCAACAACTCAAACTTTATGGTTAGTTTTATATACATTGTAATACAATTATAAAGACATTATTTTTTCAATTTATAAGCCAGTTTCTCTATATATTTTTTAATATATGTCAATTGTCAATTTACAAAAATTAATTTTACAACTAATTCAGTACCAGTAATATCTCCTCATTGTGATAGTATATGAACACTCTCAAAAGACTGAAACATATTTACATCCTATCAGAATTTCATCATAAATAACACATCTACGCAATGTAACAATTTTAATAGGTTGTAATTTCATTGAATGTAATTTAAATTTAATCCTTAATGTAATATTATATAAGCAAATAACATTGTAATAATCTGTAACAATATAATGTTATTATGTAATGTTAGATTCAACATATCAACAATATTAACCTTCAAAAAAAACTGTTATAAAACTACAAAATTTCATTATTTTACAATACAAGCATGTATACAATACTATTATCAAAACCCTAAATTATATGCACTTGTAAATAATAAACTAACAAAAATAATGTCTACATCTAATTAATAATTTATTATCCATGGCAAAATATGAAAACTAACAATGTTATACATTCCTTTGATAACAAAGTAGACAAAATTATAGCCTTTTTAAGACTTAATATGCAAATTAGGTAATTTTTCAAAAAGATCAAAGGTAGACACAAAAGATTTCAAAATTTACTTTCTGAAGATGAGAAAAAATAAAATACTGGGATAAAAAAAAAATTACCAATTTCAAACCATACCATATATTAAAAATATAGCTGACATAATTTTATTGACATGGAAATTGAGTGGACGGGTTTCAAGAAAAAAAGAAAAAAAAATCATAACGGGATTTAAATGAAATATTTCTTTTGAAAAAAAAAAATTATATATATAATCAGTACATTCTTATGCAGCCTTTGCTTTGCTGACTAATTCCTTCAACTTTTCAGTTGATAAGGATTTAGGGCGTTCGATAGGTAGACCAAGTCCACGATCCCAAACTAAAGAAGCTAATACTCCTAGAGCACGAGAAACTCCAAACAATACTGTGTAATAGTTGGATTCTTTCAAACCATAGTACTGCAATTAAAAAAATAAAATAGAACAAAATATTTAATACCAGTACATTATCTAAACATGATGTTTTAATAAATAAATTAATTAATTTACCTGTAATAAAACTCCGGAATGAGCATCTACATTGGGCCACGGGTTCTTAACTTTGCCAAGGGCATTAAGTACTGGAGGTACAACATCAAATACTTGTGACACTAATTTGAACAATGGATCTTTGGGTAAATGTTTCAAAGCAAACTCGCGCTGGCAAGTATAACGTGGATCGGTTTTACGCAAGACAGCATGACCATAACCTGGTACAACTTGTCCACTTTTCAATGTTTTCAAAATGAATTCTTTAAGTTGATCATTAGTTACAGAATCACCTACTTCTTCACGCAATTTTTCCAACCACAATAAAACCTAAAAATGTAATTAAAAAGCATTAATTAATTTGAAATATATTCAGAGATAAGAATATTATAAGTATACAACTATGTCATTATTGGTACAAACTACCACTCACACTTGAGCAGTGAAAATATAACACAAGTATATTAATGTTTTATAATTTAATTACCTCTTGGTTAGCAAGTCCATGTAATGGACCAGCAAGTCCACACATACCAGCACTGAATGATAGGTATGGGTCAGACAAAGCTGAACCAACCAAATGAGTTGTGTGAGCAGATACATTACCACCCTCATGGTCGGAGTGGATGGTCAAGTACAAACGCATAAGTTCAGTGAAATCTTCAGAACTGTTAGCTCCCAACATGGATGTGAAATTGGCACTCCAATCACGTTCAGTATCAATAGTTCCTACTTGATTTCCACCGTGATAAATATTTCTGTAGATTGTTGCTGCTATTACTGGTAATTTCGCAATTAAATTCATGGAATCTTCATATGTATACTAAAGAAAATAAATACTATAAGCTTAACATTTTTAATGTTATATTATTAAAGTTAAATGGAAATAAATATTAAATTATAAACTATCATAATACAGTGACCAAATTCATATAAAATAAAAATAAGCTTTATAATTAAATTATGTGAAATAATAGGAATAATAATCTCACTTTAAAATTACTAAATTAAAACTTTTTTAAGTCTATCTTCTGAAAAATAAGATTAAAATGTTTGTTATTTAAATATATTTTTAACAATTGGAATAAAATTCTATTTAAAACAAGAAATATAGTACTCCTATATACAATTATATTTGAAGTTAAAACTTAATGAAATGTTTTTTATGTAATTAAAAAAATAAAATAAAATTGTTGAATCAAAAATACTCGGCCTCAACAAATTTACCTTTCTTTTTCAGTCTGTTTTTTAATTTTTATATCTCAAATGTTAATCTAAATAAAATTGCAAGCAAACTGTATAACACATAAGACATATAATGAGCCAGCTCATAGATAAACTTAACTAAATATTTTACTGTATATTCTATTAACCCTAGAGTACACGCTTCACAGTCAAAAAGACCGGGCTTTTTGAATTTTGTTCATTGTTTCAAAAATACGAAATATTAACCTAACCCAATCTAGGTACCTTCTAATTAGATGATAAACTAACATTAGATACAGTTGCTTACTGTATACGATTTGTTGTCTGTACTATTGAAGGGTTCAAATTCCATTACCTATTAAAACACGGTCAAAAAGACCGTGTGCGTGTTATACTGTGACATTGACACACAATTTAATTTTATGAAAACTCGATTATGGGTTAAATTTCTTATCGCCGATAAGACGTTATTCCCTATCAATAAAACATAAATGAATATTTTATTTTCATTGTGACTGGCAAGATTGTTTTTAGTTGACATTGGCTCACTATACTGTGCAAACTACGAGTATAATACAGATAAAATATTTAATAAAATTTATATGGAAGTTTAATTTTTTTATATTATGTATCAATTAAATCATTTGACAATATTTCTTTATTTAAAAAATAAAATCAATAAAATAATTATAATTTCAATTTATCGAGTTTTAATTGAAATATTTCAATACACGGTCAAAAACACAGTGTGCGTGGAATCATGTAAATATTTTTAATGCGTAATCTAGGGTTAAATGCAAAAACTATTCTTTTTTTGTAACAAATTTTGATATAGTAAATTAAAATATAATTTATAATAAAACTACACTTTAGTCATAGTTTAATTTTTTCATTTTAACCTAGTTCACCTTGATCTACTGGTTGACCTCAACATCCACATAAATAACATTTATAGTATTTGACATGACAAAAAAAAAAAATTTCATTTTAAATATTGGAATGTAGAATTCATGAACAGAAAACATTTGTTAATAATAAGTGTATTAATAGTAATAAAATCACAATCACAAACCTCCCAGTATTGCGACTTATGAACTCCTTTAGAATAGGCTTGAACAAATTGACTTTCTGAATTCAATAAAGCAACAGCAGATGCTAATTGTGTCATGGGATGTACAGTATTGGGAAGGTTATTCAACATGGTAACCACATGTGATGGTAATTCAGCACGTTCAGCCCAAGATTTGGACACCCACTTAACTTGTTCAGGTGTTGGGATCTCACCAGTAATCAATAACCAAAACAATCCTTCAGGAAGAGGTTCACTACCACCAGGTGCTTTAGGTAATAATTTTTGGCATTCAGGAATAGAATAACCTCGGAAACGAATACCTTCATCTGCATCTAATACAGATGTTTCTGTTACTAAGGCTTTGATACCTCTCATACCACCATACATCTATAAAACAATAAAAATTAATCAATAAATCTTAAATAATTGAGTTCCGTAAATTTTAAATAATTATGTATTTACTTACCATATCTACAGTAACATCACCAACAATTGTAGATCCATGTTGCTTTTTGAAGGCTTTGATTTCTTCTCCACTTTGCTTTAATTTTTCAGCAACTACACATTTGAGATCAGTAGATGAACTCGCCATTGAACGGGAAGCAGTCCATAATGGAACAGCAACCTAAAAAAGTAAAAATTTTATTACAAGGTATGTTTCAAATTCTTACAATGAACTAATATTTTTAATAATTTAGAACATTACATATAAAAACATAATTGAAAATTAAAATCAATATAAATATTGATGGAAAAAATTATATATAATATCAGGAATTGTGAATAAAATATTATATTTTATAAACAAAGAAAATCAAACAATAATTAGTAAAGAAAACTATAAGAAAATAATTTTATTTTCTGAAAGTAAAAATTTAACTAATTTTTTTTTTATGCTGTAGTGCATATAAATCAAAATTAGGTAATATAAACAAACATTTCTACCTGAATATTTAAATTTTTAAAGTAATTAAGTAATTAAATTAATTAAGTTTACAGTTAATTTGATTAATGAAAAAACTTAATTATTAATTTCTAATACTATTATTAAGGTCTTATGGTAAATATTTTAATGACAATAGATTATAAATAATGATAACATTTTCAAACTCTAAAGAAAAGATAACAAATCATTACTAGCAATAAAAATATAAAAGTTAATACCTACCATAAAATAATTAGCCATAACTAAAGAAAAAATTATAATTATCATAGTTAATTTATGTTAAAAAATCTAACAAGGCATTTATAAAAATACCTAACATAATTAAAATAAGTAGAGTAGTAACAGTAGTTGTTTTAATACAATAAGTTATAGCTAAATCTCTAATTTTTATAGAAAAAAAGTTAATGATAAATAAAATGTATAGTATGATATATACATAAGTCCATTAATACTATTTTCCACTAATAATAGGTATTATAATTTTAATTTATACTCATTAAACTTGCTAGTATTAAATAAACAACATTTTCTTATAAATGAAATTAAATTTTTACAAAAATTGCTTTAAGATTTTTTAGTTAACACTAGTATTTTTATAATGATTTGTCACATTGAAAATAATATAATCTTATTTTTTTTTCAATTTAATATAAATATTTTCAGTTAATTATTATTATGTAAAAAGCACTCAAACACAACTATACAAAATATTACATAAATGTTTTGATGCACAAATTTTATAACACTTCTATTACATTTCTAAAATTACTCAGAATCTGAAATAAATTCTATGATTTGAAAATCTTAAATTATGATAGAATTAAAATCTATATTGTGATGATTTATTAAACTATTTTAATACCATATAGAGTATAAATGTTTATTAATATGGGTAAAAGGACGTTTCACCCCAGTAAAAAAAACGAGTCCTTAAAATGCACAGTTGCACAACAAATTTAAATCAATAATAACTGCATATTGCATAAACCGTACATGCTACAATCAGTGAACGGTTACAGGCACGCACGAATAAAAAAAAAAAAAAAACAATTATAATGATAATAATAATAATTTAGTTACAATTATATTAAGTAAACATAAATTATAAATAATATATGATTATTTATTCCTGTCACATTTGTACAAATATTAAAATTAAAATAAATCTATATAACTCCTGAGGGCCAAATGTCTCTCATTTAATAATAGACTGGGACGAAACGTCCATGGACTCATTTTTTTGATGGGGATGAAACGGCAGGGGCAAAACATCCACGATTTATTAATATTAATTGAAACATGTAATCATAAACAAATCATTCAACTATATTACTTTCCATTACTAAGACCATACAATTCTGTATACAATTATGACATGGATTTTTAATAAAATTATAATAATTTTCACGTGAGATGTATTGTTTGTATTGTTTTTTATCATACTAAAAATATAGCAGAGGTATATTTGTGAGAAGAATTGGTTAGGTTAGGAATTCGATTATAATAAACTAGTTTTACAATTCTACGGATCTAAATAAAACTAATTTAATTTGAATTTAAAGATAATTAATTTTAAGCATTAAATACTACTAATTAATTGGTAAAAAATAACTTTCAAATAAAAGTAGATTTTTTTCTGTTCAAATTAATGTTTAATTTGGCTGATATGATGTGTTTAATAAGTACAGAGGTGAAATTATCTAGAATACTATTATAATTGAGATGAAACAAAATTATAAATAATAACTGTAAAAACATAGGTAAAAAATACCTGGTATTTATATTTTATTATATTTAATCAAATTTTAACCAATTATTTTATACTATTTAGTATTATAAAAGAAGACTATATAAAAATATAGTAATACTATATAGAGAATACTAAGAATGCAATATATATAAAAAAAAAAAAATACAGTTTATTTCTATATACATAATTAAAACAATTAGAATTGAAATAATTCTAAAATTAGGAAACAAATTCCTACTACTAAAATTATTTGAAATCCATACAATTTTCAACCATTACCCAATCTCAGAAAAATAAAATTTGGATTAGGTCCTAATAATATAAGTTATTTTCATTCATAAATTTTAAATAAAAATATATTAGCATAACATGCCAATTTTTCGAGTACTGTTTAAGGAAACCATCTATCTCAAGGTTAAAGGAGGTCATCTACGAATCAATTATCTTATGATTTATATGATTAATTAAAAAGCAATTTATGAAAAAAAAAACCAAGTTATATTGATATTTTTAATACTAACAGTATTGATTGAAGATTGGAAGTTATAGCATTAAAAAAAAAAGTTACATCACTTGAGAAATGCAATTAACTACATAGTACATACAAACACTAACAAGTGGACAACCAATCATCAGTAATTTTTATTTGGCAGGTAAACAAAAATCTTACACAAATTGAATAAATATGCAGGTCAAGTCACAAGCAGCCAATTGAATAGCTGACCGGAGAAATTAAGAAAAATTAACTGGTATCCAATTCGTTATTAATGCCTTATTGCCATTCTCGTTCTATAAAATTCTATACCGAAAATATCTCTGGAGGACACCCGGACCCAGAAAGCGCGGAACCCTGACTTCAGTGGACCCAAAAACAATGGAAGATTCCAGATATAATGAGAAATCGAAAAGTGTACGAACCTGATTGATTTCCAAGATTTTGGACGCGGTCGTTCTGAACAGACTCATTTTCTAGTTTGGGTGTATTCTGCGTAGGTCTCTGAAAAAGGTGGGGTGGAAAAAATTAATATCGAAAAAATACAATTATGGTGCTGACGGGCAGATAATGAAACTGTCACTGGATAACGGACGTACCGAGATTTGGATTCCACGCGTGTCTACTTTTCAAACACGCGAATCAGTCGGCAGAGTGGACGGTAAAATGGCGATGTGATCGGACTAGAGTCGAACGTGGAAAGACCGTGAATTGCAATGATGGTCCTGTATCGGTCGGCGTTTAACAGCGGCGGGCGAGGCTTCACGGGCATGAAGATGGGCGGGCAGCAGACGGGGTTGCCCTTCCACGGGTCGTTCGGCGCGCATCGCACACCACGGCACACGTTCGACACGATTCCGCAGTGTGACCAGTGCGGCGCGGTTGAAATGTCCGCTTGTGCACGAATACATCCTAACCTAGACGAACGACCTTCACGACGATCCGTCCGGCGTGTGTGTGGCCATCGCGTTATCACGGAAGACCCATTTCGTCCCGCGGAGATCGGAGCTTGAACTTCGGGCGATTCTAAATGATTTAACGACTGTTGTGCCTTTCTGCGTGAATAATGAAGACCAATGATGATTGATGTGTGTGTGTGTGTGTGTGTGTGTGTGTGTGTGTGTGTGTGTGTGTTATGACTGTGTAGTGAAAAAATTTATCAATTAATGAATTATTTTTAACGTTTCAGATAACGTTTCGACATTTAAAATTTATTCGGTCTTATCGAATAGAAAAGTTTTACTTCATTGATAGGAAATGAAACAAATGAGGATCAATCAATATTTTTTTAAAGAATTACCATTTTATAAGAATCTACTTATGGGGAGCTAAAGACTATTTACGTCTATAATATAATTATCTTAATCTTATAATATAATTTTGGTTGTATATGGATATATTGAATGTGTTGGTGGAATGGAGACTAACGTTTGGGGACGTGAGGTATTTCAACAGGAACCCAGAAGTTAAGCTAATAGTTCTGGTGAAGCAATTTAATGATTGGAACAAATTTACCGAATACCTTTTTATTTTTTCCGAATCTAAAGTACTTTTCACGGTGTTTACTAATCTGTAAGGCCGGTGAAAGCTATGGGCGACTTGGGCGATTGCCCAGGGCGCCAGCAAGAAAGGGGTGCCAAACTGACAATTTTTTCTTTCTAATTTATCTTTTAATACGAATTAACAACCTACTGAAAGTAAGAATTTAACAGATGTGCCTTCTACTTCAATACTGTATCGATATCGCTGGCTTTGATGTATAAATAATGCATGTAACAATACTGCATACCACTGCATAAGTGTGTAAATAAAATATATATTTAGTTCGTAAAAATTATTTTCATAAAATATTTATCCATTTATAAATAGATTCATATAACTAGATGATTACGTAAAAATCGTTCGGACCATATGGCGAAAATACCGCAGTGTGGTGTAAATCAAAAAGACAGTTGCCTGAAACGCACGCACAATTTATTGTTTTCGATGAGCTCTCGTACGATCTGCTTTGTAATGTCAAATGTGAAAATTAACAAGTTACAGCCAAAAGGTAATTAATATTCATATTTTTCGTTTAGTCAATTTGTACATAATATTTTGGTTTCTTATAAGTCATTTACAATGAATTCCGTTCTCTGTTTTTCTTAAAAAGTAATTAGTGAAACACAGTATTCCTATATTATTGGCAGTTGAGGCATAATATAATATACTTCCCAAAAAACTTTCAAAAAATAAAAAAATACGCCAATCTCAAAATTAGAACTATTATATTCTTGAAACAAAAAAAAAAAAAACCTGTCTAAAAATTCACTGATATAATATTAATTTATATAATCTAAATATATACTAATTTTATTTAAACTTACTAAAATACATAATTTAACTAATACTTAAAATAATTGGGATGGATAGGGGGAGGGGGGTTAAGGGCGCAAAAACATGGTTTTGCCCAAGACGCCAATACTTCTAGCGCCGGCCCTGCTAATCTGAAAAGAAATTTTACCGCGTGCGCACTTGGTTTGAAAATGATAGAAGATTGTATGGCTATCGCAGGATGGCAAATTTTCTTATTCACATTTCTATAGCATTACTACAATTTATCTAAAAGTTTATAATAGTAAAATGTCCAAGTTGGAAAAAAATTTAAAACTATAACAATAAAAAATAAAATACTTGAAAATTTGAAATTAAAAATTTCTCTCGATTTGTTATAATAAGCCACGTCTTCGGGCGATTTCAAAATGAAAAAAAACACATTTTTATAATTTTAATAATTAGCAGGGCCGGCGAGAGGATGGAGCAGGAGTGGTTAGAGCCCTGGGGCCCCCTAATTTAATCTATTAAAATATGCTTATAAGTATATAATAAGTTATAAGCATATTTTATTAGATTAAATGTATTTTTTCTTCTGCAAGTAATTGAAATAATTTTTAATTCAATTGACTAAATACGCTTACAGCGATATTAATTGTCGTTAGTAGTTTAATATAATGTATATTCGTCCGAGTGCCCGATAAAGTTTATTTTGAGTTCAACAATTAATCAGATTCAAGAAAATTCTGCTGCGTTGGTACAAAACTATTCAAAAGATTTAGATGAGCTTACAGATGAACTTCAAAGCTTAAAATTGATATATTCAGCCAATTTCGGCGAAAAGACACTGTCATCTATGGATCTTCTTAATGCTATTAAAACTTTGAAATTAGAAAATTTATTTCCTAATATTACTGTGGCCCTCCGGATATTAATCACGATTTCTGCTACAGTAGCGAGTGCTTAACGTTCATTCTCAGTACTGAAAAGAGTTAAAAATGTTTTATGTGCAACTATGTACCAAGACAGATTATTAAGCTTAGGAATGATAGCTGTGGAGCAAGAACTGGCTAAAAGCACCAACTTTATGTTATCAATGATTTTGCCACGAAAAAGGCAAGAAAGAGAACACTATAGCTTAACCTTGTTTTCCGTTTACGACAATAAAATAGTTAGTAATCAATTTTATTTTTCCTTCGATTAATAAAATATTTTAAGTAAGCCAAGTATTATGTTTATTTATTCACAAATTATCAACTTAAATGTTAGTATTTTAATAAAAAATGGTGTGTGTATTATTATATAAGTTAGATTAATTATAATATATCTATATACATACAGATTTGTATATTTTATATCTTTTAGCCAACAAGTAAGTGGGACCCTTAATCAATCAACCCCAGGGCCCGTAAATGTTCTCGCTGGCCTTGATAATTAGTAATTATAGGCCTTCTCGATTACGGAACTTTAATATCCCTCGATTTGTTAGGTAAAACCTCGTTGAGTGGATGTTATAGCAGTAGTTCTAAGATTCGTATGATGTCAGTTTAATGGAATATATTTAATGTATAACTTTCAAACTAAGTGTAAGTGTAATCAACGTAAAAAATTTTTATTAAAAAGTAATATTGGTTAAAAAAAATATGCCTGGTAAAGTAGATTTATACTACAATGCCATAATACTTTTATAATATCTGTTTAAGTTAGTGATGGGAATTATCGAATGAAATAATCGAATCATTCTACTAATCTAATAATAGATTTAATTTGGTTATTTAATAATCATTCTAATGATTAGATAATCAATTGGAATTAAATAAATTATCTGTAAACATTTAAATGAAAAAAAAAATAAAAAAAAATTAACAGATTAATTTTGAATTTTATAAACAATATTAGACAACACTTAAAACTCAGAAGCAATATTAAATAATAATATAGTTTGTTATACTGCAAAGGAATTTGAGTATTTAGCACTATTAATAATTAGAATATAAATTATCATTCGAATATTTATTTATACATTAATCAGTTCAAGAATTGATTATATAATAGTCTTGCATAAAATCAATGTTTTAAGCAATGTTAATCATAATGCATTCGAATGATTTAATCGGTTATAAGTAATATTACTCATCCGATTATCTTTAATTAGAGACTCCAAATAAAAGGTGGTATGAACTTTTTTTCTTAACTAGCATTTAATTTTTTACATCATTTACCTTAAAAAATTATTTACTGTTCTTCAAAATGTGAATTAATAGGTTTTTAGTGGATAAATATTGGTATTTAATTGGTATATACAGTAAATATATAACCAGTGCCGTATTACCCATTAGGCAGAGAAGGCGTCCGCCTTAGGGCCTCACTCATTTAAGGGGCCCTGTGAAAACGGAAAACTATATTTTATTTTATTTACGAATTTACAGGACAAAAGTTCTTATGAAATATAATATAAATATTATGTTCTAGGTGTTAAATGCATTAATAATAGTGAAATTATTTTGAAAAAAATAGATATAATATAATAATTCATTCATTTTTATTCAAATAAAAAAATGTAATAAACATGATTTTATTTATTAATTATAGTTGGTTATTATTAAAGCTATTTATTTTAATTATTGGTTAGTAATGTTAAAGATATATGTAAAAATTAATTTTGTAAGGCCCATAATTTTAAATTCCTAGGGGCCCACAAATGTTTAATCCGGCACTATATATAACTCTGTACCAACCTTATACCAATTATACTTATATTATATGATAAATTAACCCACCCACTAATATTTCTGTGAATTACGTGATTCAAATATACCTCCTTTGAGGCACCACGGTTTAAAGTTAGTGCTAATCATTCGATTATTTTATTTCGTTTACTAATCATTCGGTTAATCATTTATTATTTTTTTAAATTACTAATCATTCGATTATTCCCACCGCTAGCTTTAGTTTTGATATTATTGTATATTTGCTTATCACATAATAGTTATCACATAATGTACAGTATTTTAAGCTCAATGTATTATCATTAATCCAATATTGTAACTATTTTAACTATTGAGCCAAATTATTCTCACAGGAGATTCAATGAAATAAAAATAATCATGTACAGATATTTGGTAATAACCAAAGATTTGGCAATATTTCGAGGCCCTGATAGGTGAAATTTTGTCAACAAAAATATATATATTCAAACGTGATGAATATGATGTAATATGTATTCTATGTAGCTATAAATAAAAACTTAATAAAATAGATTTAGATACATATAAATTCTATCGAATTGTTTGGCATAGTTACAAGATGTGATCTCTTCCGTCATCAAAAATGTTATAATTTCAACATTGTAAAAAATCATATACAAACATAACTTTACAATAGTTTTTAGGTATTTTAATTCATTTTTATCACTTTGTAAGAGGTATTATACGTATTTTATAAAAAAATATTATTTAATAAATTATAAATAAACACTAGTAGTTGATACGTAATTCGTGCATGGTTGCAATGGCCAATGACCGTGAGATTTACAGCAACGATTGGTAAATTATTTAAATTCGTTTGTTCATAAAAAAATGTTTTTTTTTCTAAATCTGATTATGTATTTTTATAGTTGTAAAATTGAAGTTATCTCTAGATCAAATGACATGGTAAAATCTGAGATTTTATATCGCATACTTTTCTTTAAAATTTAATATTACGAGTATATGCCATTTTCGATATTTTATGTACTTATGTACAGTGACGGTGCTAGAGTTTGCGAAGCCCAGGGCAAAATAAATGTTGGGTCTTATAATTTATATTAATAAAATATTTTAAGTTCAGTTAAATCAGAACCGTGGGGCCTTAATTGTAATTTATGGCGCAGGGCCCTGGGCAACTGTTCCTATTGCCCACCCCCTCACGCCGTCCCTGCTTATGTACGTATTTTAAATAGTAAACATTAAATAAACGATAACCGGTAAGACAATGCACAGATAAATATTTTATGTCTTATGTATATTTACATACTTGAAGTTCTATATTTAGGCCAAAATTGCTCAAATAATTTTGAAAATTTAGTGATATATGAAGAAGTATGTCTTTGATATATGTTAAAATTTTCAAGTTCTTATCTCTTTTACTTTACTATTACTTTTAGAGTTATGGCTAAATGAATAAAGTGTGAAAAGTGAAAGTCCCGTTTACGGCACATTTTTACCGTATTTGCCCATTTTTTTCGGTTTTCCCCTTCTATTCGAAAAAATATTGAGGAATTCGAAAAATAATCTGTCTAAAGTACCACCCCAGTCCAATTTCAAATCTAAAGAGTTATTAGATGAAACTTTTGGAACAGAAATTCTATACGAAAATTGTTTACAGAATAGAAGAAGAAAAAAAACATCATTGTAAAACCATAAGATCCTTCGCTTCACTCAGAATCTAAAATAAACATGGGCCCTAGTCCGGACATGTTCACATAGGCCCATTTAAGTTAAGTTATCATTAAAATCAAATATAACATTAAGTTGCGCCACTGTGTATGTAAATTTATATTTAACTTGATTGATGTATGTTGTTAGTATTTAATCATTTGATTATTTATGGATTATATGAATATACCTGCTAAAATTTATTACTCACGTCTTCTTCTGTCTGAAATATTTTATAAATCAAAATTCGATGCTTTTTGAATACTTATACATAATTTCATCATTAAATACGTCATCAATGGATATTATTAGTTACTGAAGTATAAATAAATTGAAATTAAATTGATCAAACAGTGCAAGAGATAATGTGAAGTAGGTACATTGAATCCACACATGTTGCTCAGACACTCAGTTGTGACTAGTCTGACACATGTAGTGACACATGTTTACATGTAACTAGGGGCGGACTGGGTTAATATTTCAGGCCAGGAATTTTTTTTGTGAGGCTAAAAATTAACAGGGGACTAATAATTTGGTCATAAGTATGCTAAAAAATAATAATGATAAAAAACCTTTATTATTAAAAAAAATAATGTAATAACCCAAAAATACAAAAATAATATAAGGGAGGGAGGTGGTAGTGTGTATGTATAAATGGCGGTGAGATATGAATGTATTAAAGGGTTGTTACCTTCCTCCTTGTTTAAGGGAGGGCTTTCAGGGTTGTAAAGGTTCTCGAACTGATCAGCGCAATTATACAGTCTGCCAAGCTAAATAAAGTAGCACTTACTTGTTTTACCGTAGACCTTCTGATATCGATGCGAAGTTGAAAATAAAGGACAAATGCAGAATTTAATTGCACTGGAACCGGATACTCATTAACACTCGTACGAAGAACACAAGTTGAACGGATTTAAATCACAAGTCAAAATAAATCGGACGTATAAACTTTCTTGTTAATCTTATGATCGGTGCGTATGCACAAATGACCAAAAAAAGAGTTGCTTTGTTGATCTTACGATTGGTGCGCATGCACTGACGACCTAAGATCAAGAGCTCCGGGAAGGGTAGTGTGTGTCCCTGTTATATAGGGACGTATGTCGGCATGGATCTTGGGCGGTCCTTTTAAGATTCTTGATTTAAGATATCTTTATTGTTCGATTTGTGTTGCTTATATTATATTCTTTGAAAAATACTGTACAACTATTTAATAAAGTAAAAAATGATACTACTTGGACAGGATTTTTTGTTGCATCGCAAATAACAAAAATTAACCCAATACAAATAAAAAATAAAAGAAATTATGATTGGGGGGATGAAATATGGTGTTGTGAGTTGATTACCTTTCTCCTTATTTAAGGGAGGGTTATCGGGGTTACAAAGGTTTGAGAGCCAATCAGCGCAACTGGACAATTTGACAAACCAAATAAAATAGCACTTACTTGTTTAGCAGGCGCGGATCCAAGGGGGGGCCAAGGGGCCATGCCCCCCCCCCCCGTAATGTTTTATATTTCATGTAAAATTAATTTAACCAAAGAATTATTCATATTTTATATTTTATTTTATTTATCATTATGTACTGATAATCTGGGATTTAAATAATAATATTTACCTATTAGCTTACATAGTATGTACACTGTTTTTATCAGGCTGAAATTTTATTTAAGATGGCCTCCCCCCGTAAATCTGTTCTAGATCCGTGCCTGTTGTTTAGTAGTAGATATTCAGATTATAACTATCGTATGAGTGTAATGAAATAAAGTGAAACAGACTCAGGATTTGATGTACTGAAGCTTTTCAACATCTGCACAGAAAACTCAAATCGAAAAATTAATTTAAAAGTGAAATAGTCGCATCTAATGATCACTCGTCATAAGAAGCTCTTTATTATTATATATTATCAATACAACATTCAGTGTGCATGCACTGGAGACCTATGGGCAAGAGTACCGGGAGAGAGTTGTGTGTCCCAGTTTTTTAGGGATGGACCTTGGACCGGTCCTTTAAAGATTTGACCTATTTATGGTATCAATGGTGTATTGTTGGGTTAGGACTTTATTATTTGATTTGTGTTGTCTGTGCGTGTATCGAAAGAATTGTTATTTATTAGTTTTTAAAATCGTATAAAATCGAATAGTGCACATCATTAAAATTTATTTGTGAATTATTATACAGTCGAATAATGCACATCATTACATATCTGTCATATGTGTAATACTATAAAATATAGATTATAACTTACCTAGAACTTGAAGCTTCTTCATCATTTTTCGCATGTTTAAACAATTTTAAAAACTTATTAAACTAGTTTGTTAAATTTTAATAATTATCCAAATACATTTTTTTTTTTTAATCCGGGTGGATTGGATAAATGAGAAACCAAAGAAACAAGAATTAACATTCATTTCATTTTATGGGTCCGTGTGCAAAAAGACAAAAGTAATAGTATTTTTAACAAGTGCAACTTGAAATAGATTTATATATTCAAAAACAAATATTATGTTCACATCATTAAATAGAGTAGTAACCGCGTAACAGTAGAGTATCTGGAGTATCCACATATCTGGAGTAAATAATTGTAGTGGTAGTAACTGTAAACAATTTAAGGAAAGTTTAATATTTATATTAATCAATTATAGTGTACACAATTATACAATAAGAATTTTTTATATTTAAAAGTAAAAATATGGTGAATGTAAATAAATAAAAAAAAATAATAATAAAATATAATAGAATATATGTTTCTGAGCAGTGCCGCAAAAACCGGGTGTGTTGTGTGTGTCAAACACACGGGCCCATGGCTCCAGTTTATAATAGGGCCCGATGATAATAGTTGAGAATTATGTAGAAAGCAACAAAATAAAACCTTTTTGTAATAATAATTATTAATGGAGATTGAACAATAATTGATTTTATTTTGTACACATTATTGAACATCGACGTTTCTTTTGCGACCTGTGGGTATAATCGAAATTCAAAATAGTTTGGTACAATTGATCAAAGGTACGGTTTCTCTGCAGAGTAGGGACGTGGACCCAAATTAGTGTAGTTGCGATACCGTTTTTGAGAAATAGTTAAGTTAAAAATTTAAAAAGTGAACGTATCCCTTTTAATGGCGTTATTTAAATCCAAAGTATTTTTCCAGCGTAATAGTCTAAATAACTTTTTACGAATTAAATTCCCTTAAAACGGAGATGATATAGGGGAGGGAAAATTGAATTCAGTTAGGTATGGGCATTACAACTTTGGGCTATTTTTTATAATATTTTATTCAAGTTGGCCGAAAAAAAATCTTTGGGTTTTGTAAAAAAGATATTTCATATCATAATTGTGGACCATGTATATTAACTATTATACATATTAGTTATTCACGAGAAGATGTTGAGAATTTTATTTTACAGCACTTAGCTATTAATAGTGTGATTAATAATTGGATTACTATATACCTATTCATGTATATTGTTTAGCTTAATTGTGCATACTCTGATAAATTTAGCATATTATTCAGCCAAAAAATACATGCAATTTCTGGTTTTTATCTATGTTTACTAAAATTTTAACTTGAGATTATTTATAGTTACAGTAAACAATTTATAAATGTTATAATAATTTTTTGTATTCTTTAAGTATTTGTTTTTTTTACAGTTTCATGCAGATTTAAAGAACTTATGATAATAATACTATTGAATCTGAATTAAATATTATTTTAGAAACATAATATGTTAACATTAACATATTATGTTTATTAAAAAAAAAAATACCAAACCAAATGTCATATTTCACTAGAGATGTTTTAACTTTAAAAATAATTTACCTTAATTTAAATTCTTAAATTATTCAATTTGAAACACAAATAGGTACAATGGTAAAAAATTGCTCAGTTCTAATTATTAACAGTCAACAATCATTACATTTTAATACGGGACAAAATCTAGATGAAGATCATAGGAATTTTCCAAATTCAAATTTGCACATATTTCTTTCATTATTTCTTTAAATTGAAAATGATTAACATTCTTCTCGATAAGATGAAGGAGTAAAAAATCACCGATCTAAAAATAAATATAAATGTTACGTTTTATGATTAGATTGGAGTTGTATTTTAAGTTTTAAATATTGTACGAGTAGCATACTTAATGTCTAAGTAAAGATAAATAATACCTACATTTTACTACAACACAAAAAAAGATGTCTAAAATATTTAAATATTTAAGAACAATTCAAATTATTAATAATAATATATTTAAATATTTCTGTAGAGGATATTCTGTTTGTAAGTTTCAAGTATTATCAAAAATAATGATGTTGATTTTAATTAATACAATAAAAAATAGAAATTATAGAGGATCATAAATAAATACAAGCATATTTTAATTTTTATATTTTGAATGATTTAAATCGGCGATTCCCAAAGTGTCTGTACAGGGGCGTCGTGCCATCATGAAATACTATCCGGCCTAAAATTTCCCTTATGATTATTCATGTTATGACTTGGGGAAGGGCGCCTTGAAAAAACCTTACATCAAAAAGGGCGCCGTGAGTCGAAAAAGTTTGGTAAGCACTGATTTAAATGATTCTCTGAGAAAAAAATTATAATAAATTAGTAAGTAAAGACAACAGAACAAAATTTTTTTTTTGTCGAAGTGCCAAGAGGCCATAATTAAAGCATTACACTTCTAAAATCTTCATTTTTCTTAACAATAGATAAGGATTATTTACAAATTTATTATAGCAGACCAATTATAATAAACATTATAAACCAATGCTGATTTATCTGTACCTATATAATGATAAGTATGATATAATATAGGTACAGATAAATAAGTGTATATAAATGGATTCACATTTAATAGTATAAAAAAAAAGTAGTAATTGCTTCCCTAAATGTATCAAAATGAGGTATTTTACAATTCTAGTACAGTAGGCTTTTATTGGCCCAGTCCGTTCCTGAATATATAAATAAAATGTAAGCTAGTAAAATGTTTAGAACTGTTAAGTATCACCAATGCATTGGTATTATAATATTTAAGATCACTGTTAAAATTATACAACTATTAAATTTAAATATCCATACTTATATAATTGCCTTATTAAATTGTCTCATTATTATTATTCACTGTAATTTAGTATGATACATACAGATTTTTTGCTATCTAAATTATCATATATTATCTACATATTATACAAATTATTGTCAGATGTTTTCATTATTATATTACGTGGATTTGGTAGAACTTTATATTAGTAACTTGTTAATGACAAATTTAACGTCTCAATGATTGATTTATATAAAATATGGAGTTCTTTAATATAAGGAGCACAGGGAGTATTTGAAGTAAAAGGAAGCAAAGTTGATACTTTCAATTATACCGTAAGTTTATAACGTGTTCCTATTAAGTAACATTAAATACAAAAAACTTCAAACAGTTAAAATTATATTAGCTTTACCAATTACCTGATTCAAAGTTGAAATATACGGTGTTTTTAGTATTTAAAATATATTGTTTGGTATAGTTAAAACGAGATTACGGTACATGTATTAAATAATGAATCGTGAAGATGGATATTTTAACTATGCTTATCATGGAAAATAATTTATAAATAATAGGACTACGGTTTCTGCGATTAATATAATAACCTATCGTAAAATTGCTGTTTTTGTAATATATAAAAAAATATAAAACATATTAATAATAAAAATATATGCAAGTATGAAATTAAAATATCCAATTTTTTTATAATAAACAATTAAAAATTTTCCATAATTTTTATTGATTAAAGATTTCTTTTAAATATAAAAAAAGATTACCATTATTTTAAGACTGCTTTTATTTATAATTTTAAAATACCTATAGAAATTATAACCATTTATTTACTATATTTTTAAGTAAACTTAAGTTTTAAAAAATACAATAATATTAATAACATACTTGACACTTCCGGAAAAGGCTGGACATCATTAATGTATTATTTGTTAACTTGAATATGTTATTGAATGAAGAGGTCTTCTTAATAATTTGCGTTATAATAGCGATTCTGTATAGCAGTGCTAATATGGACATAATAGCTAGCATAAAAAACCAAATCCACAAGAACAGATATATTTTTTCATTTAAAACATTTTGAGCGAGTATGCACAAAGCATCCATTTTCTGAATGGTGCCCGATGATCCATACTTGTAAAAATTACATTTTGTAAGTCGAGGAAAAATTTCTTCCATCGGGTCAGTATGATTTTGATCGTTTTCATTATATTTGAAAACTTCAAATCCATATGTCAAAAAATATTCACCAATAAACTTATTGGTAACATAAATGTTGGCACATATATTGATCACGTTTATTATTTCACAGAAAATATAGCCGAGCGCATAAGTGCTGTGCATGTGGAAACTCTCGATAAAATATTGTACCTATAATGTAATAATAATATATTTAATGATAATGGTAATAACTGTAACATAGGTAGTGTATTTTATGTTAAAAATAAAAATAATTTTATTTGAAACTTAAATTAAAATTGAATAATAGATTTAATATTCAAAGTGTCATTAATGAATCATGCTACAAATACGAATACAATAAACAATAAAGTACATAAACTATATTTAATTTAGTTGGCTATGTTGCAATACGTTGGTACTATTATGTGGATGTAACAATATAAATATATCATTACTTACTTAACCTATAGTGTTTCTTACGAAGGAATAATGATTATTTATCTAAAAGAAATATTAGATGTTACGTTCATATATAAGCGTTTCAATATTTAAGAAATATGTAAAAAAGAATAATCGATTAGAATTTTCGATAAAATCGATAATTTTCAAATATACTTTTTTATTAATTAGGTTCTGTTAATAATATTAACACAATACTGTCATTTATGTAATTATACTGATGATTTTATTGACTATTATGAATGCTTTATTAACTATTATAACTATACCAATTTTCTATATTTATTCATATAATAGGAGACCTAATCGTACCTTAAAATATTAAGTGTAATTTATATGCAGGTAAAATTGCACAATATAGTTATTACTAAGACTCGTAAGTTGATGACCTTAAAAACATTAGAATGTGACCTAAAAAATATGCAAACATGACATAAAAATTACAAAAAATGTCCTTAAAATATGATATAAAAAAATGATAAACATTTGTTTTATAAATTTATCAAATCTTACAAATTACTCAAAAATCAAGATCATTACATTGTATGATTAGAGCGTATTTGATGTTATCAAAAGTAAATCCACGACGATTATCTGTTAATAAATATTTATATTTGGAAAAATTTCTCTCCACGTCCATTGAAGTGATTGGGAGACGTAGACGAGCACTAAACGACGTTTTAATTTTCACCATTTCGAAAATATTACGAAAAAATAATAAAATTCAGATATAATAGGTATTATTCACTATAACATGAAAATGAAGCGACGACTATAATCGACGAGATAATATCGGATACTAATTGAATATTAGGTAAATATAATAAAATTTAGGTTCTAAATTCACTACAATACGACAACAACGAATGTAATCGACGAGATAAAATTGGAAGTCTTAAGATATCGGCATAATGGTCGATAAGAAATAATAAGAAATGAACTAGTAAAATCTAAGAAAATCAGTAAAAATGACTAAAAATGTTAAAAAATTACCAAAAATATAAAAGAATGACTTAAAAAGTAAAAAACACCAAAAAATGCAAAAAAATGCAAAATAAAATTTTTTTATTTGGATTCACATGCTAATGAAACACATTTGTGGCCAGGATAAAATCTTCTAAAAAGTTAAAAAAAAAAATGCAAAATGCATCAACTTCCGTGCCCTTATTATTACCAATTTGATTTTTAATATATCAAATTTTTAAATTTATTTATTTAAAGGGTAATTACTATTTGATGTTATAATTTTTTTAATTTATTTGCTTACTATAATTTAATTATACCTAATTTCAAATATACAAACCAATTTATTTTGTTTTGCTAGCCTCTCCTGAACAGAATCCATACTAAGTCCTCTCAAATCATTCGTTATTATACGTATTTTTCCTCCTTCCCACATTTTCCATATCCAATGTGGCACATAAAAAGTAATGGCTTGAAAAAATAGCATAAATGGTACCCATTGGTAGTACGAATGGTATCTAATTTTTATTTTATCTTCATTTATATTAGAGGATTGATGAAAGTCTGGATTGTTGTTATAAGTGAATGTACTGGATATCCAACAATAAGTGTTTATAACCTTTCGCACGTCATCTTTTTTCGATAAATTCGTCATGCATTGTATTGGATTACCTTAATACATATAATCAATTATAAAAATATATGGGTCAGAGCCGAAACACGAATTTTTTTCGGATAGTAAAAAAGAGTTTCATTTTATATTCCATTTTATTACAATTGGTAAACTAAACAATAATTAATTAGTACAAAATCGTAAAAAACTCGAAAAAATTTGTAAAAAAAACAATGTAAGAATAATGTAGATATAATTTTATTTTATCAGGAATTCTGACTGTATATAATATTATTAGGTTTACCTATATTTCAACTATAAAATCATTTATCTGAAATTTCAAAAGGAGAAGTATCAAAGACTCCTAGGGGCCTATTAAGTACGTTGTAAAAATTATTTCTGCATGGAAAAAACTCATATTTTCCACTTTAAAATATTACTGTATATGTGAACGGAAATACACACATACAGTATTAAAAAGGACCGTCTACGCCACCAATTTTAGCGGGTAAGAAAATAATTGATGTCATCAGAACAAAAATTGGCGTTAAATGATACAGTTAAATAATATAATACAATATTTTTTACGTATAATTAAATAATGAATATTTGTATTGAAACTATAGGTTCAGAAAATAAATGTTATTTAAATAATTTTATAAAAATTAGATTAATTGACAAATAAAATCATTAACCAATATTTCAATATTAAATTTTGTAATAATCAAATAATCATTCATACTTAATAAATAAAAATAACAAACCTATTAAATTTATCGATGTTAATAACACACAAAACATTAATAAAATGTTAGTGGTTAGTTTGTAGTGAAATTGAAATATATAATCGTCAATCACTGGTTTATCATTACGTACATGGAAATATTTTGCTATATTGTTAAATGACGAAATAAAAGCCATGTTTTTTCTTTATTTGTTTAATTGTTGTAGTCTTATAAAGTACGACTCCTGAAAATTTTCAAATGAACAAACAGTTTTACAGATTATGAATGTGTTTAATTGAACGAATGGAGTCAAGTATTCATTGTGTAATAACAACAGTTGAACACCATATATTATGACATAAAGTAAATTACAAGTATAAATTAACATAAATATAAATTACTACTACTAGTACAAATATTATTATTTTCATAAAAGAAAAAATAATTAAATAAAAAATTAATCCTTAATCACAAATTAAATCTGCAGCAGATGATTTTCACTGAATCATGTTATGCAAATAACATAATTTCATTCATAGTCAAAATGTTATATTCGTTATTCGACATGTTCTTTTACTTATAAATTGACTCATTGCAAAGCTATCATAATTATGTCAAATCACGTACATGCGCAGCACTATTTGAAAAGGGTGACTATGTCATACATTCTATTTTGTGTTGTTCCGTAGTTATATAATAATTTAAAGCTTTTACGATACCTATGTGACATAGATATTTATAAGCAATAGCAATTGTAGACATTACAGTAATAAATATTTAATAAATATAACTTTTCGATAGCAGCATGGTTACACGAAATTATGTTAATAATAATAATAAATAATAATACCAATAATTATAGAGGTTCGAAGGTTTTGAAAGTAGGAGAACTTACTTTTTTAGTAGGTACGTAGAGATATTCGTCAGATATTTTTTTGTTTTTTTGATGTAGATTCCAAATAGTTAAAAATATTTTTTTTGTACTTGTTACTCATTAAATCACAGTACAACAAACAATAGTAATGTATATATTTATTTATATATTATTTAAGTAGTTTAATTATTTTATCACTTTTTTTAGACGAAAATATTGGAAAGAAAGTAAATCGTGAGTAGAATTTGTTTGTGTTAATGTGTTATGCACCCCTAGTTTTTTTGCCGGTGTTCAGAAAGATATTTATTGAATAATAAATTAAATAATTAAATAATTCTGTAATTACTTAAACTTATTTATAGTGTCACTCTGACCTGTGATTGGGACTTCGGCAATAAATTTACAATGGATCACCAAACAACATAATATTTGAGGAGATTCAATAAATACCTAAAAAAATATTTTTTCTCACTACGCTCAAACTCTACTACAAATTTTAATTTATTTTTGGTTTTATATTCTTCCAAAGCCAATATTATCAAATTATCAGTGTGTTCGTGTATGTGACCGTTAATAACACTTATCTCGCATTCAACAGTAAACCGTGATAAATTATAATGCAATTAAGATGTAAATCGTACAAAATTATGATGTAATGTACTTACCTGAATTGCAATTAATTTACGAAGAAAGTGTAAGACAATGATAGAATGATGTTTTAGTATAAAACAGTTTTAAACTAGAGTGGCATCAACATTCAGCATCATAATTACATAAATCATGGTTCATTTAATATTAAATTATAGTACACAAAAACTGCACAAAAACTACACTCATTATTCATATCTCTATGGAAACTAGTCATTGTCGATAGATTGTGTCATGGAGTTTCTAAGTTTTATACACTCCCATATTTTTTAACTTAAATGACCAATACTAGAACTACAGATATCGATGGCAAATCGGATTAACCAGTGATAACGGTTGATGCGACAAATTACCAGGCTCTACATTGTGTTTCTGTATAGTACCAGAATGAAATTCACATGTTAGTATAAATTGGTATTGTCAACATTTTGACGAATTTTACGTTGTAGATTTTTATTCCAATGCAAATTTATAATTGAAAATTAAAGATGCATATCAGTGATGTTTAACCTTTTTTTATCGGTGGGCCACTTTGGTAAACAATTACCTTAGATTGGGTCACCAAATATAAAATTACGATTAATTTTAAAATTAATCTAATAATGTTATTTTGTTACACATAGTAGGTATAAAATATACATATAGGTACATATTGAATTTATTTTAAAATTGACTATTGAATGATTACGCGAATCAGTACGCTTTTTTCAGTGCACGGGTTATATCGTGAAATTTCTATTTAAACATTTTTGAAAATAAAATTAATAAATTTATAAATAATCGTTTAAGCCACATGTGGCCGGCGTGCCATGGGTTGGGCACCACTGATGTACACCATCTCAAATCATGAGTATCAACATTTATTCCACAGTATTAGATGTCAAAAATATTAACTTAAAGCCGTAGTGAATCTAGGTTTGCATTTCGAGAAGACCATAATTTTATACAAATTCTTAACTTATTATTAAACTGTTAAAACAACTCACTTTTTCATTACCTATATGTGTGATGTTACTCGTTTTTACATTGACACTTTGTTACGGTAGTCCTTATTAAAAAAATTATTTTCTGTAATTAATTATGAAAATAGATTTTTCTAGGATTACGATATTCAATACTGTACTTATATTAAATTCATAGGATACGCCATTTAAGATGTCATAGGTCTGTATGGAGTTCTAGGCAATTACTATAAATATTTTTTATTTTAATTTACATGTATGTGTTTTTAAATTTTACATAATACAGATGAGTATTTTAAATACATATTATGATTAATTAATATTTTACCTATTGGAATAAAAGGCTTTGTTTAAAGCAAATTCTTCAGTTTAGGATTAAATTCAGATAACACAACTCTAAACATCAGTCTAATCTAACCAGAAAGTTACTTTATCTCCTAAAGATGTTTCAATTTCATTATTTTTTCATTTTCTCATGGCGAAGTTTGTGTTTGAGCAAGGAGGCAAAGCATAAGGGGATTTATTCGATTTTCTCTTGTATCTAATTTTTATGACTACTATTTCTAATAGTAGTAGTAGTTAAGAAGAGGGCACTCGTACGACAGTTAAATGTTTTATTTTTGAGTCATAAAATAGCAACAACTCCGAATGAAATAAAGAATGTATACAGTTATTTTTGATAAAAGTAATACTATTAATCCAACTAAAAATTATCTTTCTTCTTTATAATTTTATAAATTTGTTCTGTTCAGGGAAATTTTCAGGTTTTTTTTAATTTCACGTACTAGAAGCTATGCTACAAAATTACTACTAGTCGTATTTGTACTTAATTTTCAATGATTTTTTTAAAATTGTAGTATAAATACATACCTGTTTTGAAATATTTCATTTATATATACATTATCTTAGTATTTGGTGTAATTATTTATTTTATAAAAATATTTTCAAAATAACATGAATCTAATAGTTGATTTTTGAATAAATCAGTTTTCATGGTTATTAATTTATAGAATACTACTTTTTATTTTTAATGATCTGTAACAGTTTTTAAAATATTTAATTGTATTCATTTTTCTATATAAGGAGTTATTATAGGCAATATTATAGTTAGCTAAGTATATATGTGTAATTTCTATACGTTCTTAAATAATAAGGCGTAATATTTAGAATTGTAATTTATATAATATTATTATAATATGCAAATTTAAATAATTTGAACACTAAAGGATAATACATTTAACTTAATTACTGTTTCAGAGAAGCTTTAGTTCTTATATTACTGTTCTTATATAGTTTTTATTACTAATTTTATGAAAAATCAAGGATTTTATGACAGATCAATGAGAGTAATAAAACCTAATATTGGTGACGTATTAGATTTGAAAGTTAATAATTTTTGTACTTTAAATTTATAAAAAAATTTTGGAAAAAATCTATAATTTTTAAATTTTAAGCCTCTTTAAAAAAATGTTTAAATTTTTAATGATAATTAAAATATGATAAGTATTTATAATTATATAGTATATAAAATCCTACCTATATGAATATAATAAAGTTAAATAATTTTTCCCCTACGCATTTAGATTGGTTCTCCAATAATAATAATTGTGAATGAAGTAGTTAATTTAACAATATTAAAAATTAAATAAATGTTATAATTGTATTTATTTTTATAATCTGTCTGAAGCGAAGAATCTTATATTTTTACAATGATGTTTATTTTTTTATAATTTTTTTTCTTCTGTAAACACTTTTCCCGATAGAAATACTGGTCTAAAAGTTTCATCTAGCAACGTTTTAGATTTAAAATAGAGCTACAGTGGTATATTAGAGAAACTATTTTCAAAAATGTCAATGGTATTTTCTAGGTATAAAGAAAAACTACCGAAAACCTATGTTTTAAAATGGTAAAAATGCATTATAAACAATACTCAGTATTCAGATTTAAAGTAATTAGTCATAACTCCAAAATTATTATGGCTAGAAACTAAAAATATTTTACCCTATATCAAAGACATTTTTTTTTCATATATGAAAAAATTTTTTAAAAAAGTTAAACACTTTTGTTTTAAATATAGAACTTTCAAAATACTTAATTTTTTTTAAAGTTTTTATGTAATCATATTTTTATTTTTAGGTAATTAAATATCACTTTACTCATGTATTTACTAACGATGCTGACAAAATTTCAAAAATAGTCAGAATTTTGTTTTATAAACAATAATTAACTAGCCCATCTAATTTTATATTAATTCATTTATATAATATGTTTAATGAATTGATTATTTTTTTTCTATTTTTCAACTTAAAATCATTATTAAAAAAAATTGTTCCATCTAATCAGAATGAAACTTTGGATACAGATAGAATAACATGTTTTGAATATTTGGTTAAAAAATTTTTTTATTTGGTTTTATAAATAATTTATCTAGATAATGTTCAAACCGGCTATAACTAAGGGTCACCCTAATATATATTTTACTCAAGTGTCGTATACACCACGCAAAGGATTGACATATATAACAGATATATTTTGGTTATTGAATCTCAGACCGTCAAACGAGTAAATATCGATATCTTTGGTTAAAACTTATTTAATTCTACTTTTGGTGACCATGAGAAGGAGTACTGCACAAAAGGATAAATTAACAAGTGTGTCAGGATTTATAATTTATAACTCTAAGGTATCTTTACTTTCGAACAACTGACCAAGATAACGAGTAATGGATGTTCATGAGTGAGATCTCTTTAACTTAGAAC